GCTTAGGAAAATACCTTGAAGGAGAGGGCATGGTTGGCAAACAAACGTAGAAGGCACACATTATTTATGTTAAAATATGGAATACTTTAAAGGCTCATTCTGATTATTTATGTAAAAATATGGTATGTTTTAAAGGATCACTGATCAGAATAGATTTGGAGGAGGGAAAGTAAAGAGTGGAAGCAGGGAGACCCGTTAGGAAGCCTTTGCAGCAATACAGGTTGTAGTGGACATGGTGAGAAGGAAGTTTGATTGAATATTCTAATTTTGGAAATATTTTTGAATTGATAGTTCTACTACTACCAAGGTAACAGTTGTTCAGTGAACCCAGACCAGTTAGTGAGAGGGGGAACTACCCAAAACACTGTCTTGGCTATCTTTTTGGCTAAGCAAGGAATCCAATTCTAAGTAGATCATCGAGGGTTATCGATATCATAGAAGAGAGCATTATGATGGAAATATGTATGGTCCATTTATTTGTGAGGCTCTTGTGGGAACTTTGATTGACAACACTTAGGACCAGTGAAACTACTTATGGAAAATTTCTTATAAAAGGAATAGAAGTCTTGAATGTCCTGCCTTTTTTCTTTTCTTTTAAGTTTGGTTGTAAATGTCATGCAGAGGGATTCCATCCCATCAGAAGTAGACTATGAAACAAGGCAAGGTGTTTATTCCATCTGTCTGCAACTTGCAAGGTATGTAAATATATGCATCAGTCTCACACAGCAATACTTGACTTTATTTTTCTTCCCAAACCCTATCATTTTAAATAGTATGAAGTGACCTTTTTATTTCATCTTAAGATTTTTGCTTGTTGGACAAACAATGCCCACATTATTAGATGAAGACCTCACCAAAGATGGCATAGAAGCACTTTCTTCTCGCCCATTCCGAAATGTCAGCCGTCAGACAAGCAGGCAGATGTCCTTATGTGGTACCCCAGAGAAGTCATCCTACCGACAGCTGTCAGTGTCTGATAGGTCCTCTATTAGAGTTGAGGAAATCATCCCTGCTGCACGGGTTGCGATACAAGTAAGTGATTTGCGTATTCAGGAAGTTTTAAGTACCTCCTATTTAGAAGGCACTGGCTGGGAGCATGGGGGCTGTGCAGATACAGAACGATTAAGACATGAATATTGCTTTCAAGGAACTTATGGTGAGTAAGAAAGACAACAGTAGTGCAGAAATAACTATCATTTAAGGTAAAAAGTATCAAGTTTTATGAGAGAACTATAAAGTTGTGGAATGACATCAGGGCCATCATACATGAGGAAAGCAAGAGGTCATTATCAGAGAACTTTCCAAAGACAGGAAAGAAAGAAAAGACCAAAATGGATGTCAGAAGAGACTCTGAAACTTGCTCTTGAACACTGAGTAGCTAAAGCAAAAGGAAGAAATGATGAAGTAAAAGAACTGAACAGAAGATTTCAAAG